CTCCACTCTTATATGTAACTCTATGTTCCTCCCTCTTCTGGAAATAGGTGTTAACTACAGCCATTTCCATCCTCTTAGCAAAGTCCACCACCATCTGTCCTTCTAGGTTCCTTCCCTTAACACCAAACCTGCCCATCACCTCCTCATCACCTTTGTTCCCCTCACCAACGTGCCTGCTGAAGTCTGCCCCAATCACCACTCTCTCCCCTCTGGGAATACTCTCCATCACCTCATCTAACTCACTCCAGAATCTCTCCTTCTTTTCTAACTCACACCCTACTTGTGGGGCATAACCATTGACTACATTCAACATTACCCCTTCGATCTCCAGGAGGCTTCACGACTCTGAGTGTTTGCTTAAGGACTCTTTTAACCCTTGTGTTCTGTTAAGGATCATAACAATGTTAGCTGAATAGGGACAAAGTTTCACTGCATAAATTGCGGTACTGTAAGGAACAGGTGAAGTATATGAACAGTTTGGTCAGAGGAGAGACAAGTAGTGTCCTCTTACAGTTAAAGACAGTAGCTGGGGCTCCTGGATTGACCATGGAAAGAAAAAACATATTGTAGAGTTGAATATGAATTGTTGAATTAATCTGGGCCTCGACCGATCCGGCATGGAATTTGCACTGATGATTCGCATGTTTAAATTTGGCATGTTTTTTATGCCGGATGCTCTTCCTGACGCAACCCTCTCTATTTATCCGGGCTTGAGACCGGCACAGAAGTCACTGGCTTGCAACCCCTGTGGCTAGATTTTAGGCAGTATTTCAATACTTTGGGTATTATATATTTCATTTGGAAGAACCTTTGTCTGAGACTGAAATCTCTAGTGGATGAATTCCCATGACATTTTCTAATGGTAAGTTAAGCATAGCTGGAACTGGAGAATTTTAAATTAAGTTTATTTTTTACTTAAAAATATAGTTATTGTGATGCAACCTTGCTGCTGATGGATAATGATATGATGTACAGTACACAATAGTTCCAATCTTAAAAACAAATGTTTTAGCTTAATAAAAAAAATGCAACTTTTGCATTAAGATTTTTGTGTACATTCAAAAGTATTATTGATTCTCATCAAATGTGTGTCTGTGTGTAGTGGTTTATAGACAGGAGACTTGAGGAGATGCTGGGAACCAGATGCTTGAGGACAGTGAGAAGCTGTGACTCAGGTGTGTAGGCAAGCGATGGGGACTGTGTCTCTTTTTAAAGGCAGGTTGAATGCTGGATGACTGGATTACGGGAACAGATAAAGGGTTAGCCAGACCATGATGAGCTGACAAGGAAGCAGGCTGGTACTTGGTTTGATGGCAAGATGAAGTTCAGGTTTGATGGTTAAAATGCTGGGAGGTGGTGGTTTGGTGAGGATGTTGGAAAAATTAAGCTCTATGTGCAGGCTGTCTGGGGGTTGGGTATGCTGCTGGACACCTGAGGCTGGAGCTCAGGTGTGATGGTGGGGACTGAGGCTAGGCCAACACTGGCAAGTCTGTAACTAGCCAGAAATAAGGCAAGTTGTAAAGAATTGGCTGGTGGGTAGCCAACCTAGAGTTTGCATCCAGACAAGCCAATCGGGAGAGTGGAATGCAGCTAGCAGGCTTAATTCCAGCTGCATAAGGAGTAACAGGAAGTGCAGTAAGCTAAGGTCTTGTAGGCTTTATGTAGGACTGCAGTGGTATACCGTGTTGTCATATCTGATTATAGTAGTAATTGTGTAATACTTGAAACCGTAATATTTTCTGAAATGGTTATCATACAGTGAAAAGCTCATACCGTTGCAACCCTAGCTCTATGATATGAAAACCAGAAGCCTTTGGAAAGGCCTGCAAACCTTCCTCTAGAACAGCAGCATTAAAGCTACAATCCCCAGAACATGCACATATCCCAAGTCTAGGATTGTGACAGGGTGTGCCACCCTTTGAACAATTTCGATACACTAGAAATGGATGAAAAGGACAGAGATAGGGGTGGGGAGCAGGGCTGATATAGATGTTAGAATAGAAAAGGTAAATTCACAAAGTGATAAAAGGGGAGTAGTGGCACAGTGGTTAGTGCTGTTGCCTCACAGCAAGAAAGTTCCGGGTGCATTTCTGTGTGGAGTTTACATATTCTCCCTGTGCCTGCATGGATTCTCTCCAGGCACTCTGGCTTCCTCCCAATGTCTGTTGGGCTCTCACATAGAGAAAGAGCAAGATTAAAACTGGCTCCCTCGCTGTGATAAGTCAAACAAACAGAGAGAGATTTGCAGACAAAGCTGAGGTTCCAGACAGCTGAGCACAGTATGCCAGAGCCGCAGGACGAGAGCTCAATGTCATTTCACAGCTTTATGGGGACAGCTGGATATTGGCAAGGATTTGGGGAAGAGAACAGAAACAGGGGGAGGTGAGAGGAGGAGGCGCAGAAGGGGGGTTAATCCAAATACATCACTGCCAGTCTGCACACATCCACACACGATGGGGGGCAAAAGGTCAGCAGTGTGCGCCTGATTTAATTTCGATGAAATATATGCTAATGATGTGGACAGCACCCAGGTGAATACTGGGAAGAGAGGCTGTTACCAATCTGTCAATTCCTGCCTGCTACAGCTCGGGTACACACTTGCTTACACACACACACACACCTTTTTTTTAGTACTGTATATGTCACACTTACACAGACGTGTGAATAATTGTGGATCTCAGTTGGAAATCAGTTGGTGATTAGACGCTAAAGATGAAAGACTGGATGAAAGGACATGTCATGTCTCTGTAAAGGTGTTTTGTTGATTTGTCTCTCTTCACACGTTGTCCCTGATAGCGAGGAGAATGTGTAAAGCTGCAGATAATATTGAGGGTGAACTCAATTAGAAGGCCAGATCAGTAAAAGCAGAACACTGTCTCTTTAATCAGAGTACTGGTCAGAAACAAACGATACACAATGCAGGAGTCAACATTATCCATTCAACATGTAGCACTCTCAGGTCAATAATCCAGTCCAGGATCAGAGCCAGCAAACTCACACATCCAAGGTATCCACAAGAAGAACGGTCAATAAGGGAAGTATGTAAGTCGGTGCACAGGATACAGACACAATCAGAAGGGTTAGGCAGTCCGGGGTCATAGCTGGAATAACACGCACAATAAAAACCGCTGGAAAGTTTGAACATGGGTTAAAACAATCTGGCAGCTTCCTGGTGGGAGGAAGTTGCCTATAAAGGGCTGAAAACAGGTGCAAACAGTTGTCACTGATTAGGGTAAAGAGTCCGTAGCTGCAATGATACTGGAAGCAGAAGAAATGGAATCATGACACTCACATCTTATGCAGGCGAGACTAAGACACAAGAAAAAGTTAAGTGAGGGTAAAGTAGATGCAATTAAGGGAATTGGGATTTACCCATTCATTCTCTTCTACCCCTCACCACCTTCCTCCCATGTTCCCTTGTGATAATTCTGTACATCTGCATGTATAATCTAATTAGAACATGATATATGAAAAAGTACTGGAAGGCACTGGAAGTACAGCCACCAAGAATTTGATTTTAAAATACTTTATTTCATAAACAGTATCTGACTTCCACTTGGTTGGTCACATACACATTAAGAATATAAAATGCTTGACTTAGAATAAGAGAAGACAACAAGAAATGAGCATTCTTATCTGCTCCTTGAGTTTCAGCTTGAGTGAGCTCATCAAGTGAGGCCTGTGGTGATGTTCTACAGAGTGGCCTAGCGATTAGAAAACTGTGCTACACATGGCAGGTTCAAGCTGCTTCACTGCAGAAGTGTCTGTGAGCAAGACAATGAATTCCTTGCAGCTGCAGGGATTAGCTAACTGACTTCTAATTTGTATATGAAGGGAGCCGCTTTATTTCTGGGAATCAACAGTTGCTACAGTTGCTTTTATTCAAATCAAGGAGAAAGACATTAATGCTAGGCACCATTTCCATCTTCTGCTTTATTCACTGATAACTCGGTCTCATCGTAATGTGAATATATAGAAAGACCTTTAAACCAGGACATGGAGACAAGCAATTGGTATCTCACAAATAGACAGAAATTAATTAATTTAAATACTGAAAAGGACAACATTTTGGCCCATGGTGTAAATAGAGCTAGAAAAGATTCACATTGTCTCCCCATCTTCAAATAGGGTTGGATGTATCTTTACATGTTGGAAGACCTTCACCTGTGTGACTAAACTATCATAAATGATCCCTAATATATAATAAAATATTGCAAATATTGTGCAAGATCAAAGTCACTATTTGTGCAAAGAATGTGTGCTCTTCTACTCTTCTAGCTTTGACAGGTTTCAGTTTATTTACTTCCATTTTAGAAATGTTTCCCACAACAGAACAACACTAGGACAACACTAAGAAGGTATTTGCTGTATAGAATACCTTTGCTGTAGATTGATTAGAAATGCCTCTTTTAAAGAATACACCAAAATGCACACATCACAAAAGCCAATCACATAATGTTAGAAAGAGAAATCCACAAGCCTTGGGCTTTATGTGCTGTCCAGAGGAAATGAAACAGAATTCTCTGTCCTGCTGCCTCTTTATTTTCTGTACGGTGTGATCCATTTGTCCACTCGTCCGCCTATCCCTTGTTTCTGACTCACCGATGGAGCTATGGTTAGTGAGACATTGACGTGGAATGACTGAGGGTCGGTGAGTGGTTCTGGGCTGGACAGTGTTTCACCTTTCTGTGCCTGAGACAAACTGTGCAAATACTACTGCGCTCTTTGTCCTCTGGGATACCAGCACTGTGCAGTGACTACAGTAGCACTCCAGAGGACGCTGTGGATGTGTTTGTGTGTGGTACAAATGCTGGCCAGGCAATGATTAATTCAAGTCTTTCTGTGACCATTCAAACTGTAAACAGCAGATTTCAGTTTTTATATACAGTAAAGAATAAATATTCTCCTTTTGGGGCCAAAGCGGAAAAAAAAAATTCAACTGCATCATATTCACTGACGTCACAGCAATAGAATGTTTCCTTTTCGTTTTATTTTACTTTAAATTTCCTGTCATTCAATTCTAGACTGACACAAATGGCATTCTGCATGTCCAGAGGCGTTCCTGTTTCTCAGCAGTTGCTGATAATTCAGTTGTTATGAGGTAACCAAGGAGGAGATCATACTGAAACAAGAAGAAGAAACAGGAAATAGGAAGTGAGTAAAGGCAGAAGGCAACAAAATAAGAATGACAATTTAAATCATCTAATGGGACCTTTTTTCAGACAAAGCACTTGAGGTCTCTGTGTGTGTGTGTTTGTGTGTGTGTGTGTGTGTGTGTGTGTGTGTGTGTGTGCGTGTTCAAACATTTCACTGATCCATCTATTTTTTTTGGTGATTCATCTCACTACTGCTGTTCTATCTGCTTGCAGATTTAGTGGGCAGTCTGTTTGGGTACTGAAAAGATGGAAACTCAGAAGAGGGCTTAATTAGCTTGGTTTCTGACACCAAACATTTCCATATGATGTCTCCTTGAGGCTTTTCTGTAATAATCTGCATTTTTCTAAAGGTTAAATTATATTTTTCTATCAAGATGTTGTGGGTCTGCACCTACAATATGCTACTCCATGAGCAATCTCGCTAACTTAAAGGTATGCTTGATGATTATTTTCAGAAGCATTTTTTGTTATATATCTTTAAATTCTCTTTTCACTACAATAGCAATGAAAACATTAAATGCACTGACAACATAAAGAAAAAAATCCATCTGTGGTAGCAACAGGGCTGAAAAAAGCCTGACAAATAGTTTTACTTGTCCCAAGTAAAACCACTGGATGGCCTACCTGTCTGTCAACCTACCTCCTACTTGCATGCAATCAATGCATGAGCCAAGAGTCTCCCAAAGGGCCAAGGAGGCAGACCTGCTACCACTCTGATTTGAGCTAAAGCTAACGAGCTATGGCAGAGAAGGTACCCACAGCAGCTTTTGTTCATAAACAGAGACCACTGTTACAGGCCAGGCCTTCCCCTTTAAGACATATAGCCTTATTTATTATTATTAGTCTGGGATCTTCCGCCCTTTTTTTGGCACTTTATAAGTCCAGCATACTTTCAGCTATACAGGCCATTGAGGTATTTATCTGTTCAACTCTTCAAGGACATCCTTGCTTGTATTTTTCTTTTTTACACCATTTATACTTTTTAATTGATTTAGCTTTATTGTTTGCAATACAAGTCAATGGGAGCTCAAAGTGCTGAGTCAATGACACAGTCTTGGAGCGCCATCTGGTAGTTCATAAAATGCAGCGCAATTGAGACATGCCACTACATAACTCCTCTCTCTCCCTCTCTCTGTCTCTCTCCCCCTCCCCCTCTCTCACATACACATTCACACCTACTTGTTTTACCTACTTTGTGGGGTACTATTGGACTATTTTCACATCTTAATAAGTTCAGCATACTTTCAGCTAGCAAAGCCATTCAGGTATCAAAATGTTCAGCTCTTCAAGGCCATTCCTACTTGTATTTATTGCATCTCATCCTTCAGATTATTCAACAAAGAACTTTAGCCATTTCTTCTCATCTTTCAACTGTTTCAGCAATTGATTTCAGGCATTTTCAGGACAATCTTTCAGCTTATCAGCATCCACACGCATTTATGACAGGAAATGCATTTCTCTAGTTGGTAATGTGGTTGTTGCAACCTGCATGCAGTATGAGAGCAGGAAGACCGCCACATGGAACAGACTCCTTTTTCATGCAGCCACGGGTGGGGAAAATACCATCAGTTAGCTGGCCCCCACTTAACTTCTCCCTGCTAGAAAAGCCCAAACTTCTAAGGCTAGTTAACAACAATGAGCAAGGGCTAAAGCAGCTACCGTGATACTTGAGTTATTATAAGCATTTAATCTTTTGGATTTATTGCCTAACAGTCTTTCTGGGGCCAGTTTAACCAAACTTCAATCTGAAGGTCATGTGCTTTTTTGACATAATAATTATGACAAATGCCAGACTTGTGCTCCATTCTGTACCATATGTAAGCAGATACATTTATGAACCCTTTAGGACAGTGTTTCTCAACTGGTATCACCCTGGGACCCACTTTCCAACCCACGACCCACCAGTACAAGATTTCAAATAAATTTATTAAATTATAAAGCATTTTTTAAAAACATAGTCAGTACAGCCTTTGTGTCAGATTTTTCTGTCTGCATTGAGGAAATGTTACTCAAAAATAAAACTAAACACCACAACTGCTGCATAACACAACATAAATACAACAGTCGAATAACACAACAGGGTGCTGTATATGTATAAAACTGAATGCAGAACTGCAAACACAACATGATAATATTTTATAGTCTCTTTTCACTTAACATGTAAGCAAGATTTTATTTTACAGTGAACTAATGAGATAGGAGTGGTTGTGGAGTTTCAATGTCTGGGTTGATAGTAGACAGAGCTACTCTCAGATCATGTTCAGTGTCCAACCTCTTCCTTTGCTTTGACTTGAGCTGTACCAAAGTGGAGAAACCACTTTAACACAGATAGGTTGTTGTGAAAAGTAGAATTGCTTTGACTGCCAATGTAGTGAGGGAGGGATACTCAGACATCACGTATTTGCACCAGAAATGGGGGAGCCTTACCTCATCAAATTTCTTTCTCAACGTCTGGTCACATGACAGCTCGACCAGCTGATTCTCCTCGCTGCTTGGCAACACAACGCTTTCCATTTTGATTCCAAAGGGCTCTCTTATCCAGTGACTATTGTTGCGTTTCTCTGGAAAGTAGTCCTCAAAGGGAGTGTGTAGACTGGTCAGATGCGCAGTGACAGGTATTTTCAGGGCATTTTTGGCCACTGTATTTAGCTCTCCTGCTGCGTGGCAAGTGTTGGGAAACATGTCAAGTCTATCTTTAGTCACGTGATTTATGCCACAACCTCACCTTCTTTTTGAAGTCAGTGACTTTGTCAGTCTGTTCAAAGATGTTCTGTCCTCTCCCCTGCACAGACACGTTTAAAGTGTTGAGGTGCTCGAACACATCGGCAAGATACGCCACGCACGAGCCAGAGTTCATCACTGAGCATCTCAGTGTACGGGGAGTTATTGTGTGAGAGGAAGGTGGCGATTTCGTGTTTAAGCTTGTAAAAGCGTGACATTACCTTTCCCCTCGAAAGCCAGTGAACTTCTGAATGATACAACAACTGGACGTACTCTGATCCCAGATCTTTGCACAGCTGTGTGAAACAGCGGCTGTTCTTGGTGCACCGTTTAATGTAGTTCACTATTTTTATGGCATCTTTCAGTGTTGTATCAAGCACTGGCACCATATCCTTAGCCACAAGTGCTTCTCGGTGAAGAAAGCAGTGAGTCCATGTTGCATTCAGCGCTCTCTCCAGGACTTTCTTCACAACTCCTGCATTTTTTCCAGTCATGGAAGCTGCGCCATCAGTTGTTACCCCCACACAATTGTCCCAACGCAGTCCCACAGAGTCCAAAAACAAAAACAAATCAATAGCATTGAAAATGTCCTCTGCCTTTGTAGACGTGAGGAGGTCACGGCTGCATAGAAACTGCTCTTGTATGTCCATCCCACACGTGTGTCATGTAAACAAGCGAAATGGCATGATTAGCAATATCTGTCAACTCATCCATCTGCAATGCATAGTAAACACTAGCCTGAATCCGCGCTGAGGTCGGTTCTTTTGTGTTGGCTGACATGTCTTCAGTGCGCCGCATTATGGTGTCATTAGATAGCGGTATGGTCTTCAACTTGTCTACTGCAGACTGGCCCAATACCTCTCTGACCATGTCCAGGGCTGCAGGTAAGATGAGCTCCTCTGCTATTGTATCTGGCTTCTTGGCCTTTGCTATATGTTGAGCTACGAGATATGAGGCCCATAGTGCCTGCTCTCATTTGGAACACAAGAACAGCAGTGTCTTCTGGGTGGTCCTCAGGTCCCAAAGTAGTCTTTAAAAGTGTTCGACTGGTTTGTCTTTGTATGCGGTGTGTGTTGTTTCTAAATGGCGTTTTAACTTGGACGGCTTCATACTTTCTTGTGCCAGTACTTAACTGCATATCACACATTGAGGCTTATGTCCATTTTTATCATCAGTGTAAGTAAATCCATACTTAACATAGTCCGAATCATATTTTCGCTTCGCCATCTTTTTAACAAGTGGACCTATCTTCAGTGAGTGTACACTGCCACCCGCGAATCAAGGCTTGTCATGGCAAGGTTAGGCCTCTGCATATCATGCATGCACGCATTTCAAAACAAAAGCCCCAGGTTAGATAGTACCTAAGCTTTTGAACCCACAACAATATATCACTCTCAAAAGCAAGTTTTTTTTTTTTTTCACCATGTCTCTCACGACCCACCTGAAATATGCTCGCGACCCACCCCTTGGGAAGCACTGCTTTAGGACCCATAAATGTCAGTCTCAATTTTGGGTTAAAAGGCACAGATATTCTGCATGTTGGCATCTACCATTATTACACAATTGTAACCTGTGGCCAAAATGGCGGTTGTTTGGCAAAAATTACAGTGTTAGATTGAGTCGTATGTGTCAAACACCTACAGCAGAGGGGCAGGGACCACCTAACACCTTAGCTAAGAAACATAATGTGACCTTATCTGCTATAGCTTGTTTTGAATCTAGCCACAGGGGTTGCAAGCCAGTGACTTCTGTGCCGGGCATAACGGCATACTATGTCAGCCGATTCACAAAACCAGAAGGATTCTTGTCTGGTTTTGGAAACTCCACAACCATGGCACACAGCTCCAGCTCAGTAGGGTCCATGATCTAGTCTGCAAATTTAAACTTGCAAATCATCAGTGCGAATTCTATACTGGATTGGTCGAGGCCCAGGTATTGGACTACTGCTGTTGGTCGAAGAAGGAGAGGAGGTAGAAGGATTCGTAAACAGAAGAGGAGAGGCAGGAGTACAGGTCTGAGAATAGGGACTCTTAACATTGGCACAATGACACGGAAAAGGTAGAGAGCTGGTGGACATGATGGAGAGAAGGAAGGTAGATATACTGTGTGTGCAGGAAAGCAGGTGGAAGGGTAGCAAAGTGCATAGCATTGGAGGGGGATACAAACTGTTTTATTATGGTGTGGAAAGGCAGAGAAATGGGGTAGAAGTGATCCTGAAGGAGGAGCTCGTGAGGAATGTTTTAGA